CAGACTTCATATCTGGGCCAACCATGTGTTCAAAATGGCGGTGGTGGCACTCATGTCGTCAGAGAAGAGAGTGGAGCATGAGTGATAAAAATAACCACTGTCATCACTTACTGCTAACTGTGTACCAAGTATTGTGCTCAGTATTCCACGTGCGTTATTTTATTTCATCCTTCCCAGCCATCTATGAAGTCGGCCCTATTCCTATTCAACCCATTTCACAGAACCTCAGATTACAGCATATCAGAAAGGAGATTTGCACTCACCTTTGTCTGACTTCAAAGGCAGAGCCCTTACTGAGTCACTAAGCTTACCTCACCATCAGGTAGACTCTGATGTGTTTCTTCTACCTTGGTCCTCCCCCACCCTCACCTCCCCCTGTGCAGCAGCTGCCAGTTTGCAGTTGCTTTCTATCCTTCCTAAAGACAGTGCCTATTGCTCTTCCTGTGTCGGGAGGTAAAGAACATATGCTTTGCCTGCATCCTGATTTATCACGGTGGGGAGCCAGTGGGCCTGCAATTAGACACAGCAAGATTCTCCTAGGCAAGCATCACCAGTGCAAAGCATTAGGGCATAAAGAAAAAAGCAAAACAAAACTAAATGACAACCTGAATTCTGCAGTTGTCTCCTGCCGTAAAGATGGAGTCAAAAGGACCCCTTGGAGAGAGAGAAGGACTCACTGATAACCTTCCTGGCCTAAGTCATGAGTGATATAAAAATGAAGGCTGCTGCAGGCTGGGATTCAGAATTACATTTCATGGGGCCGTTAGATCTTTTACTATTATTGCTATTTTTTTAGGGTAATCGTTGATTCAGGGCAGGGGTCGTGGTTTTGGTGGTTAGAGGCCAGAAAAATCACCCAGCGTCCAGCCCACTTTGAACAAAGAGCAATGACTCACAGGTACCTCTTCAGGCCACAATTTCTCATATGTGGACAAGGAGGAAAATCATTTCATGGTCACGGTGAAAACATATTGTGCAGGGAGTCAAAGTTTCTCTTGGGGAAAATCTTTCTCAAATATGTTGGTTCCCCTTTTCTGATTCCAGGCAGCTCGGCAGCGTGTACAGTGGGCTGGACCTCTGAGACTTTCTCTGAGCATCTCCATTCTCACCACAGGGCTAGGGACCAGAGATGCTCAGGCCAAGGTCATGTCCATACCTGGAATTCTGCTTAATTTGTCCCCTCCTCCCTGAACCTGCCAACTCATATCTCAGCAGAGAACCAGACCGTGGGGGCTCTTTCTACCCATGTGCAAAAGGGGTTAATAGCAACCTGTCTCATAGGGTCCATAAAAGCATTAAACAAAATGTCATCATGGCTAGCATTTCATAGAATTTCCTCTGTGCCAGGCTCTGTTATAAAAGCTTCACCCATATCAACTCATCAAATCCCCACAACAGCCCTATGAGAGAGGAGTATTTTTAGCTGTATTTCATCTGTTCTGAGATGCGCATTTTCTTTCCACATTTTAACAGCTCCGAAACTGGGGCACATCTTATCACTGAAACAGGTTATAGTGTAATCAGTAGAGTTTTCTTTCTTAGCGGCACAAGGAAATGGTGATGCATCTTGAAACGAAAGATGTCTTAGATCAGAGAAAATACGGTGTGCCTGTTTCACAGATGAGGAAACTGAGGCAGGGAGAGGCACTGAATTCCTCAAGGCCACACAATCTAGTCAAGTGGCAGAGTTGGGGTTTGAACCCATGTAGTTGGCTAAGAATCAGCTCTTTTAATCACTAAGCTAGGGAGGGTATGAGCAAAGCACCCAGCATCATCCCTGGCTGTCTTAGGATCTGCACAAATTAGGGATGCACCTTTCTGTCTGATTTTTCAATGACAGCGAGATAAAAAGTTTAGGCACCGAGAGACGGAGGTTGTGTAAAGAATTCCACACCTTTATAGTTTTTGCCAAATTCCATTTCTGCATTTCTATTCTGGAATATGGAGGGGGTGTTCTCTCTCTCTCTCTCTCTCTTTTTTTTTTTTTTTTTACTTTTCCAAGGAAGAAAATGTGGGTCCATGGTACATCTATACATGTCCTGCTCCCTCCCTTCCCCATGGCTAATCCCATTAGCAAAGGGAGAAGGAATTCCTTAACAGATTAGGGAACTCAGAGCCCCACAGAAGGTTTGCTCAAGAGAAGACATTCAAGCAGAGGATTTACATATATTATTCATATTCCTTCCATTGAAAAAAAATTACAGGAAGACGTTGTACAAGGCAGGGTGTCACTGTAACATTAGTTATGATATTGCAGCCCCCATCTCTGTGAGAAGGGAAGTAGCTCGTTTCATTGGGCTTCAGGACCGCTTTGGGGGCTTTTCCCAAGTGTCATTCATGACTCTAGTGCATGGTGGACTCAGCTGTAAGTGGCATCACCACGCAGCCCCGTGTGGCCTCACCTTCATCCTCTAAGGAGTCAGATCATTGCCCCCAACAATTCTCAATGGACAGTTACCTGCCTGCCTGGAATTTGTTACTCTTTTTATATGTGTCCCCCCCCCCCAAATAAACATAACAACTATCCGAAGCCAGTGACTGTGCCCACACCTTCTGTGTATCCCCCTGGTGCATGCTAACCACTGTCACTGCTTGGTTTGCATGGTGAGGCAGAGAGCTTGAATGCTGGAGCCAGACAGATCTGAGTTCAAATCCCTACCCTGTTCCTTGCTGGCTGGGTGTCCTTGGGTATGGGACCCCTCCTCACTGAACCTCAGCGTTGCCATCTGTCTCATGAGGAGGTAACAGTTCACACCTTGAAGTACTGTAGAAGGTTCTGGAATATCACACGTAAAGACTTTTGCTCAGAACCTAGCATGTGGTAAACACTCAATATATGCCAACTGTCGCCATTGTTATCCCCACCACTGCAATCCTTGTTGGTTTGATTTACACCAGAAGTCGATCGTAATCTTTATATAGTTTCTTGTGGCTTATCCCTTTTGAGTTAGCCTGGTTTAGGTTAATCAGTGCTTTATGGTAGCTCAGAAAGTTGAAATGCTAAAGGCACGATCCTTCAGATGGAAACCAGGGACACCCTGAGGGTATTTCTAGAAAGTGGGGCAGGGGCAGCAGGATGCAAATGAGTCCTTTGTGTCTGACATCTGAGTTTATCCAACAGTTCTCTGGATGTATTCTCCCCTTCTGACCTCCCTGAGTCCCACCAACCCTTGTCCCAAGAAAGAGATTTCATTCCAACCTCTGTATCTTCCTCTACTTTCTTCACCTCTCTATCGCAAGATGGAAAACTATTACATTTACTTGGGTACTTGGCTTCTTTGCTCCTCAAATCTCAATCTCTCTCTCTCTCTCTCTCTCTCTCTCTCTCTCTCTCACACACACACACACACACACACACACACACACGCACACACACACACAGGAGTCTGAGTTTGCTGTCCTCCTCTTAGTTCCCATAACACCCACTGATACTTCCCCAGCATAGCATTAATCACCCTGCATTATAATTATCTTGTCTTATCTCTTTCATTCCCCACCCCAAACATGCACACTATAGATTGTGAAATTTTAAAAGGCAAGTCTCATCTGTTACAAGAGCGTGTGTTGAGCACAAAACAAAGGTTCAAGAAATGTTTGCTAAATCAATCAAATCACAGTAGAACCAAAATCTAGGGAGTGCTTGCTGTGTGCCAGGAGCTGTTCTAGGAGCTACGGGCATTATCATTTAATGCTCACAGCAGAGCCACGAGGAGGCACTAGGATAGCCCCATTTTACCGACGGCAACACTGAGCAGAGAAGTTCTGCTGTCTTGCCCAAGGTCACAGGGAGGCCAAGCAGCAGGTCCAGGGTTCAAACCCAGGCTCTTTGGGGCCATTGCCCCTGCGTTCACACTCACCTCTGCTTTTGAAACAGTCACCTTGCTCCTCATTCTTTCCCATGTTCTTACCCCCTCACCCCCACCCCACTGCTATGCCCAGAGGTTCAGTCCCAGAGGGGGCTGCTCTGGAATGTAACCCATTTCTGTGTAGCATTTTGAGATGAAAGGAGACACGTGGCAGCTGCACCTTGCACAGTTAGCTCACTAAGAGGGCTGAGCAATGAGGGTGCATAAAGATGTGTTTGTTAACCCTTCGAAAATAGAAGCCCTGGAACACTTCGGGCTCCCACGTAAGCACGGCTGAGTTTTAATCTCCCTTTTGTGCACCAACTTCCCCCCAGGTCCTCATGCCTGGGGGCAGGACTCTAGGTGGACCCGGTGGACCCTTTGACCCTCTCTCCCCCTGTTCACCTACTCTGGCCAATCACAGGTGATACAGGGGTTTGTGGCTATGACAACACAGACGCACTTAACAAAGACATAACTGGCCTACCCAGTTACAGTCATTTAAAAACAGAAACACTTGACTGCAGTCATTAAATACATAGTGATGATTCTTCTTTGTCTTTCAAATCAACAGCAGTATTTCATGTCACACATACACATTATCAAGTGTGCGCATCATGCTAAGCTATTTCCATATCTCACTTCACTTAGTCCTCACGCTCTCTCTTCCTAGTTGATGTTCCTGTCCTCATTTCGCAGACACGAGGAAATAAAGGCTCAGGGATGCTAAGCAACTTGTCTAATGTCAGTCACCAGTGAGGAACAACGTCAGGCTTCCAACCCCAAAGTTTAGCGCTGCAGTCTCCCCGTAAAATGGAGGATGTGCACGTACCTCGAAACCAGCGGATCTCTGAAAATCATTTCTGCAACGGCAAGCCTACAATTCATCTTCATTTTTTTCTGATGTTCTACAGTGTCACTGCCGATTTATCCCATCATTTTGGAATTACTGGCTAATAGGATGGCCCCGTTCTGGCTGCTGATTTCAGTCTTTACGAGAAACCAACCATTGATAGCAATAGGGATGTGTCTCAATAATTTAATTACGCCCTGACTACTCTCTTCCCCCTTCCCTTGTTGGTCTGGAGGCTAATTCCTATTTCGCTTGGTCATGAAACCATGATTGGTTCCGGCAGAGAGAGGAGGGAGACTTACCTGTGAATGAAGTTCTGAAGCAAAAAAGGGCCAGAGGGCCCCCGAGGTCGGGGAACTCTGTGTCTTCTTGGTGGCTGCTACCTTGGTCATCTTGGAAATCCTTCAGGCTTAGCCTGTGCCCCCAAGGGGAGAGATTTTCCAGAATCTTCTATCTCAGCCACCGCTCAGGTGTGAGGTGCTCCAGCAATTTCTCCCTTATTCCCAAGTGCCAGTTACACAGACTCCAAACTGTTTCTGACCCAGCAGTAATGGAAAGCAAGTCATCTGGGTCCAACCAACAGGATGAGGAAGTCCAGACAGGGTGGATAAGGGAAGCCTGGAATTATTCACTTTTTAGAAAGTTACAAACTTTTACGAACTTTCCCTCTCTTTGAAAAGGGATATCTGCCTCTCCCATAAACAAAAATAAAATATGAACTAAAAAAATAAAACTCCACTGATGAAGCCTGAGGGGGGCCCATGGAGGGGCCCCCAGATGCCCATTTTAAGGCAGTCCCAACAAGCAGCTCAGGGTTCCCACTGCAAGAGAGAAAGCGGCTGTAAACTGCGAGGCTGGGCCAACTCGGTTGCCTGGCAACGAGACGCTGTAGCGCACTTCCTCATTGGCTGGGCTTGATGGCGGGGTTTGTGAACTCTCGCAGGCTCTTGGGATGATGGACGGAGCAGGCTCCTGGCCAGGGAGCCACATTCTCCAAATTCTGGTTCCTACTCTCAGGTCAGAGGCCCTCATCCCTTTCCCTCTGTCTAACAAGACACAAGTGACTCCTGATTTTCACTGTGCTCTGTCCTGCCACTAACCGCTAGTGAGGTCTTGTGTCTTGGGTTGGGTAGCCCAGTGTGTGCCTTTAGCCCCGCAATTATCTTAACCCGAGATGTCTATTTCTTTTTTCATCTGACAAACTCCTACTCATCCTTCAAAGACCCCCTAACACACACACACACACACACACACACGCACGCACGCACGCACGCACATGCACACACACACATATGTATACAGAGGGTGCCAACAAAATGTATACACATTTTAAGAAAGGAAAAAAACTATTAAAATCGTAATAATGTATACCGGTAAGAAAAGACAAATTCGAGTAACGTTTGACTTCAGCAATTACAAGAGGTGCTCGAAGTGGTTACCGTCAGCATCCAGACACTTCTGATGATGGCGAACTACTGCTTGAGCAACGTTAACCAAAGTGTCCACTTATATACATTTTTTTTATGGCATCCCCGGTATATATGTGATGAGTGCTTGGAATGTGCTAGACACTGCTCTGTTTTACATATATTAACTCAATCCTCACAAAACGTCTTCAAGGAAGATATTTTATGACTCTGTTTTACAGACTCGGAAACTGAAGCACAGAGAGATTGAATGACACACTTAGGGCCACACAGAAAGTGCCTGAGCTGGGATTCAAAGCTAGACCCATTTGATTTTTAAATCCCAAGCTCTTAACCACTTAGCTGCATGACTCAGGATAAGGTGCCCAACTGTGCTGAACCTTGGCTTCCATATCTTTAAAATGAGGAAAACAACTTTACCCCGGGATGAAAACAGATAATGGATGTAAAGCCTGAGCATACAAGGAGTCCTGGTTAAGTGGCAACTATCATTTTTTCCTGGCACCCCAATCCCCAAGAAGAATTAGTCATTTTTATAGTGCACTGTTCATTTTACAGCAGATATTCATATGAACTAATATTTATTGATCCCTTGCTCTGTGCCAGGAGCTCTCCTAAGCACTTTGCATGTATTCATTTATTTAATTCTTCCAATAACGCAGTGGGGTAGGTTGCCAGCTTGCGGAAGATTTATTGCACAGGCTCTGATTTGCATGCTGTATCTTTGGCATTATTTCACACGGGATCAACCCAACACATGTTTTATCTCTAAACCTTGAACTGCCGAGGATTGTGATGTCATCATGGCCACACAATGACCCTCGCCTTCTCTTTAGAAGGCGTCTGAGGTAAGATGACCCTGCACAGCATACAGAATGTCTAGCCACACAGCCCCAGTTGCTGACGCTTGGAAGTCATTCTTTTCTTGCCATTGTCTGAAGACTGAGTCTGACCTCCCCTTTCCCAGCAAGTTCTGGTTCTCTGGCCTCCTTAGCAAACAGCAACATTAGCCATCAGCCAGCGCTTTCAGAGGATGCAGAGAAACTACATCGTGCTCAGAAGATGGGGCTGGGGATGAGAGAGGATAAGAAAACAGGACAGAATGGGAAATGGCTGTCCCTGAGCAGAACTCCGGGCTGTTTTCACATGGCTGTGAGGGACAGTCTTGGCGAAGGACTCAACAACTAGCTCTGTATGAGCCCGCAGAATAGGAAGAGGGTTTGGGCTCGATAGGAGGAAATCCACGGCACAGCATTGTTTGCAAAGGCATGAGCTCTGGAGTCAGACTGACTCGGCCACTGAGCAGCCTCCATGATACTCTCATAGGATGATGAAGAAAGCCAAATGGATAATTCATGGGAAGCACAATGCGTCGCAAAACGGTAGTGCTCCGCAAATGTTAACGCGCATTTCTTCTGTTATTAATACCCACCTGTCCGAGTCATGTGAGAACTGGAAGTATTATAGAAAGGGCTCTGGAATGGAAAAGACCTGTGTTCAAATCCTGGCTCTGCTGCTTACTGGTAATGAGCTCTTGGTTGAATCGCTTCACCTCTCCGAGCCTCAATTTCACCGTGTATATAAAGTGATGGTTACGTCCACTTTATAGAGTTGGAAGAATTAAGAGAAATGATGAGTGTATGGAGCCTGGTGCCCAATAAGGCTTGCTGTGTCCCCTTTCTGCTCATGAAGGGGTATGGAAATAGGGAGAGAATGAGCTCCCCAGCACTGAAGGGGTTCAACCAAATACGGTCACATTCTGAGGTGCTGGGGGTGAAGACGTCAACATACGAATTTTGAGGAGACACAAATCAACCCAGAAACACTGAGCAACCTCAAGCTAATAGCACACACCATGTTGGATCGATGTTGCTATGTTTCCCTCAAAAACTTAAAATATCCCTATCTTCTGTGAATTTTCTGTGGCATCATGGGGTACCTCAGTGCATACTTTGGGAACCACTGGGCTATAGGAATGTTTTCTGTCTTTGATCTGAGCAGCCTGGATATGCAAGAAGTTAAAACCCACAAGACGAGATGTCAAGTAATGACGAACAGGAGTTTGTGGATAGATTTCTCACCTCCACAGCCCCCAGACAGGACATGCTCTGAGCTAGGGACAACTCCCTGCCTGCTCACCAATGACCCAGCATTGGCTTCCTCTCTTTTCCTGTTTCGCTTCCCCACTCCCCTTCCGGCTCTGCCTGGTTTCCCAAATAAACCACTTACATCCAAACCCTTGTTCCCACATCTGCTTCTGGGGACCCCAACCTAGGCCAGCGTTGACTGGTATAACCAGGGAGGTCAGACCTGAGTCAGGCCCTGACGTTTCTTCTCCCCTCACCTTCCATGGTCTAGCTACCTTCTTCGATCACTTTGCCCCATAGTCATCATCTTACCGTTGCTCTCACAAATATCTCAAAGAGTTTCTTGATATTCTCCATGTTCCTTAAACACTGAAAGGCCAACATGTTTTCAGAGAGGCAAACACATCCCCGAACAGCGAAATATTTGACAACTAAGATATGGAGTGATTCTTTAATTCTGAATTCCTGGTTGATGTAGGCAAACTATAAATGGAAAGATGTGAAGTGACAGGCGTTCTCTCCTCCCAATTTGCCAAAAAAAGAAATGCATCTATCTGAAGGCATTTGGAGTAGAAGACAAATTTTGGTATGTGTCAGATACGAGCTGGGGTAGCTGAGGTGAAATCTGAAAATCTGCTAAACACTCGAATTTCAGTCATTAATACATATGTTTGGCATTAACAACCAGTTGGAAAACTCCTCATTGTTTGAGTATCTTTAGAATACTTTTCTGTGTTGCATCTAACACCCAAAGAATTCCTTCTGGGTATTTTTACTGAAATGTCATTGCTGGGTTTACAAATTATGGGGCCTGGGGCAAGAATAAAACTCGGGGCTCCCCTGACACTTAGTTGCTGGCAGCCTGTTGATGAATTGCTGCCCGGCTGAAATAACACTCGATAATGGATATTTGGACCAGATCTATGGATTCCTGTGCTTCATCAGATTAAAGAAGAATCACTGCTTGGTACCGTCCCCCTGAGGCCCCATATCTCATTCCTATCCCATCCTCCAAACCCCACCCCAAGAAGGGGAGGTGAATTTGTATCTTTGTAAACAAAGAGAAGAAAATATAATATCAACCTCCCTCTCCTCTTTCTCTCTTTACGTTGGCGCACCAGGCCCCATAGCGGATGAGTGGGGCCTCCAGGGTTATTCTTCATGAATTTCCTCACTGGAAATCGAGGATGTGGCTGTAGCTCTCTCCATGGGTAATGCTCTCCATGTGTACGTGCTTCACCTCACAGCATGCTGGGCTGCAGGCCAGATCGGAGTCAAGGAATCATTAACCCCATTTTGCAAAAGGTGGAAAGCGAAGCCCTTGGAGTTTAGGACTGTGGTAGTGGTGGAGGTTGCCTGGGAGCCCAGGTTTTGTGATTCCAAAGTCAGCAATTTATTTCAGCACTCTGTCACACTGTCTTGGTAGTCTTTCACTTAAAGGTATGAGTGTGTGTGTGTGTGTGTGTGTGTGTGTGTGTGTGTGCGCACGCGCGTTCGCCCACAGGTGCACATGTGTTCAGTTCAGTAGAATGACCTGGGGTCATCTATCTCTGCAAACTCGGCCAAGACAATTGGGACTTCCAAGCCACCCAGAAGACTTTAACTTCTCTAGCCTTTGCCGGGAGCCTTTGTGTTAACATCCATCTAGGACATCTCAAACCCGCATCTCAGGTAGGAAAATACTTTCCTGCCAGGTTTTCCCTGCCATGGATTTCCAAGTAGCTCACCATTTCTTGTTCAGTACACACTCCAGCCGGTTTCCTCCCTGTGTGGGTAGAATTGTGTCGCTCCTAAAATATATGCTCAGGTCCTAAACCCCGCAGCCTGTGAATGCAATCTTATTTGGGAGAGGAGCCTTTGCAGATATAATCAAGTTCGATGTAGTCAAACTGCATTAGGGTGGGCCCTGAGCCCATGCCTTCTGTCCTTCTAATAGCAAAATTTGGAAATAGAGACAGAAGACGCACAAGGAGAGTGCCATGTGACAACAAAGGCAGGGATTGGGGTGAGGCATCTATTGTACATACTAAGAAACGCCGAGGATTGCCAGCAATAGCCAGAAGCTGAGACAGGCAAAGAAACATCCTCCGCTAGAGCCTTTAAAGAGAGCAGGTCCTGTCAGTGCTGTGATTTTGAACTTCTAGCTCCAGGATGGTAAGGGAATACATTTCTGTTGCTTTAACCCCCCAGCTGGTGACCGTTTGTTACAGTAGCCCCGGGAAACAAATACACCACCCCGTCTTGCTCCAGCTTCATGTCCTTCTCCACCCCCACTAGGATAATAGAAGACTGCCACACAGCTCTGCAGAG